CCCGCTTGAAGACGTTTGGGTTACTTGGATCTTCTTTAGTTTTAGCTTCAGTAACAGTTTTACGGCATTTGCAACACAGTAAGGTCATATAAGTTCCGAAGATTTGAGGTTTTACAAGAGAGTAACCAAGAAAAAAGAAGGAGGGTAGATAATAAAGACGATAGATGTTTGACGGGAAGGAAGGAGCAAACCCCTAGAGCACCTGCTAACTGCGGTTTCTGATTTGCGTAGGATAGTCCGAAAAGTACTGCAACATTGTCTTTGTTGGGTTGACGATCGGACAAATTGATATATAATATGTGAGGCAGCGTGGTGGAATCAGGCTCTCGTAAATTTTTGGGCATGTAGAGTTATTGGTATCATCTTAAAGCTTGTACACTTGTCTTTATTTGGGTGAACAAAATGTCCATTTATCTTCAATACAAGTCGAGATATTTGAGAAAGAAGGAGGTGGGGGTCCCCTGTTTTCAGAGGTAAAATTAGTGAGAAAATGGCCGCCAAAGATTAGTTATTTCCTTAGCTTTAAAGTCCGTGGTAACTGAAAATTTACAATTTTTTAGTCTTTAATCAACGTTTTTCAGAAAAATCCACACATAAATGAGTTCTTCAATTTGACTTTAATGGGCGTGAAAGGTGTTGAGCCACAAAACAAAAACTTGATAAAAATTCACAAACCTGCGGAAAATGCAAGTTTCTTCGCTTTGATTATTTTGACGAGAGCCTGATTCCACCACGCTGCCTCACATATGTATTCTGTCTGCGCTACACCCTTTAAGAGTCACATTCCCAGGTCCTGCACTCAGTGCTGAGAGGGACTCTCAGCCAGAGCAACAGCCTCACATTTGTTTGGGTAAGTGTTTTACGGCTCGCAACTGCATAAGGTCGTATGAGCGCGCAGGACACACCAACCATTTTCAGTTGGTAGGAAATTTTGAATATTGCCCGGGTGGCGGCTGAAGCCTTCTCTTATCGATTTTGTTGGCAACTTGCACACGCAACCTCAGAGATTTTTCATCCTTGTCCGAGAAGGCTAGGTGTAGATTTTACCTACCATAAGATCAGCGGTGCAGCTGAAAGACAGCAGTAAGAAGGAGCCGAGGAGTAGCAGTAGAAAGGCTGCAGAAAGAGTCAGGAGCTCAGAGGAGGGGGCAAAGAAGGTGATTGGGTGGGGACAGAAAGTGGAGAAGAAAGCAGACAGCAGAAAATTGCTAGAGAGCAGGAAAGGAGGTGAAAGGAGACAATTTTAGAGAACAAAATTGTCTGTTGTTATCCGGATTCGAACCCGGACACCTTAACCTCTAGGCCACGAGAGCCCCCTAACCAAACATTTAAATGTACATTGTATTTGGAGCCCAGTGTGTGGATTCATGTTTGATAAGTATTTAATAGTTTAAGTCCATTTATTTCTTTTCTGACCTCATTTCTCTCTCTCCCACTCTCACTCCCCTTTCACATTCT